TAAACCCCTACACCCAAAGCCCTAAAAGCTTGCAGGAAATCCGTAAGGATTTCAATTGCAAGGGGGCTTTGGCGTTGAGCTGCTGCGCCCTAAAACCCCCCAAAGCCCGGCACCTCAAAGGCCTCGGCTTAAAACCCCTCAAACCCCAAACCCGTTAAACCCGAAACTCTAGGGTTCAGGTTTAGGGTTTAGGGTCTAGGGTTTCGGGTTTAGGCTAAACTCTAAACCCCAAACCCCCTAAACCAGGTTGGACACTTAGGGTGGTCCTGCTGACACTGGTGGCACTTTGTTTCCACATTGAGGCATGCTTTTCTTCATTCATTTCTCCAAGGCTTTATCCGGGTCGTGGGTGTGTCTACATCCATTAAACCCTAAACCCTAAACCCTAAACCCTAAACCCTAAACCCTAAACCCTAAAACCCAATCACCGAATGCTGTTCAGCTCAGGAGCTGCAGCAGCTGCACATGGGGGTTTCCGAAAATAGGGGACCCCAATATAGTACCCTAAATAGTAGAATCCTTATTATAAGGACCCCTAAATAAGGTATCCGTTATTTTCGGAAACTCCCACATGGATCTTTTGACAACGAGGAGCACGGGCCTTCTCCGCGAGCTGCTGGCAAGGTTGATGCGGCTGGAGAATGAGGAGCTGCAGAGCATCATGGCAATGCCAGAAATGGCTGGCAGGATGCACCTTTTTCTGCGTCGGGGAGCCACTCTTCGATCCGCGCTGCTGTGCTTGCTGCTTCGTGTGCAGATGATTCCTGACCTTGTGCCGGTGCTCAAAGTCTATAACGGGGGAGTTCGGTGTACTTAAAGGATCATGGGACTTGGTAAAAAGGGCTACAAGTAAGGAAACTGGACTATACTTATAGTTGCTTATAGCCCCAATGTGAAGGTACTTATAACCTTACTTACTAAGTCCCGCGATCCTCCAAGTAGAGGGTCTAGGATTGCGAGGCTTGGGGTTGTTTCTTCGAGGCCGCAGAGGTCTAAGTACTTCAATCTAGCTGTATTAGTTTCCATAATCTAGTTGTGATTTATTCGAGCAATTAAAAGCTTTCTCGTTAATTTGGAGTAAAAGCTGTTGAGTTAACCTTGATTAACAGCTTATTTGTTAGCTGACATGATGTTGCACGTGGCGTCCTATAGCGAAGCCGCTTGCCTAAGCTTACATCCCAGGCGCTGAGTCATAGGCTGAGTCTTACAATCCTGGGCCCCTAAACCCTAAACCCCTTGTGCTCCGTCCAGGTGTCCTTTGTGCAGAATGTACTCCAGCCAGATCCTGAGAATTCAGCCGCATTGGGCTGAAGGTTCGTTGAAGTTATTCAGGTTGCCGGGTCATTTGTCCCTAACCCCCCAGGTACCTACTATATAGGGTACTAGAGCCCCTAGGGCCCTATGTAGTAGGTACCTGAGGGGTTAGGGTGTGTCAATAAATGGGGTTAGGGTTTAGGGTCAATAAACTTAATGAAATGTCCCTATATCACAGGTCTATGGCACACCCAAAGACCCGTTCTAGCTTGTCAGGCCCGTCTATAGAAACTCTACAAAACCCCTAGTAACACACCCTGCAACGCTCTGTTTTAATGATTGCCGTAAGAGTAAGCCCCGAAACCGTAAACCCTGGCCTCTGAACCGTAGCCAGAAGATTATCTCAGGCATTGAGAGGATCTCACGACGGTTGCTGAAAGGATCATGGGACTTAGTAAGTAAGTAGGGTTATAATTGAGGTAACTACACATATATCTACTTATGACCCCAGTTAAGAGGCTTATAACCTTACTTACTAAGTCCCATGATCCTCCAAGTGTAGAGTTGTGAGAGCCACAGAAAAGAGCGAAACACATTCCGAGTGTGCAGCTGCACGTGCAGTTTTGGTTTCAAGTCCTCAAACCCAGAGAGCCAGACACCCCTTAATCAAGCAATCCACCTTCGACATTAAGCCCCCTACAACTTTGGCATGGTATACCCTAAACCCCAAACCCTAAACCCAAAACCCTAAACCCTATTAAACTTTAAACCATGAACCGTATGTTCCTTAATGTACATGTTAGGCCGCTTTTGACCTTGGGACTGAAGGCACGTATATTCCTTACTTTAGGGTTTAGGGTTTAGGGGCATTGGGTCCTCTGGGAGCTAGGCAAAGGGGTGAGGCCACATACTCCTCAGCCCAGGAGGGAGCAGCAAAGGCAAGTCCCTACATCGGATTTAGGGTTTTGGGAGTTTAGGGTTTGGGGTTCAGGGTTTAGGGTTTAGGGTTTAGGGGTTTAGGGTTTAGGGGTTTAGGGTTTAGGGTTGAGGAGGCAGAGCTTCACGCGTGCTGAGCTCGTGATGACCCTAAACCCCGAACCCTAAACCCGAAACCCCTAAACCCCTACACCCCTAAACCCCTAACCCTAAACCCTGAACCCTAAACCCTAAACCTTAACCTATGAAATTAAGGAAACTCTACACACCCCGAATATACTCAAGGTTAAAGGTTAAAGGCTAAGGGGAAGCGTGCTGCTAGAAGTCCGTCGCCAGGCGAAGGTTTCCTCCATTGGGTTGTTTTGGTAGTTCAAGTTCCCCAATCTAGGTGTGGATCCGAGCCGAGCTTTCCAAGGCAGTTTAGCTGCTCTCGATTCAGCAAAGTTTAATACACAAATGACATACAAGTGTCTTTAACCCTCCCCTGATAAGTTTCCCTAACCCCCCAGAGGTACCTACTATATAGGGCCCTAGCAGCTCTAGTACCCTATACAGTAGGTACCTGGGGGGGGGGGGGGTTAGGTTTGCTTGCAGGAGTAGAGGTTTAAGCTGGTTGCAATTGAAGGTGCCTTTTGCGTGCTTCTTGGCGGGCTGGGGCCGTGGTTCGGGGTTCGCAATCTTTTAACCCTAAACCCTAAACCCTAAACCCTAAACCCTAAACCCTAAACCGTGGGTTTTAGAGTTTGGCCCTTAACCCCGAGCCTACATCCTAAGTCCCAAACTCGAAGCCCTAAACCCTCAATCCCAAACCCTTAACCCTAAACGACGAGGCTGGGATGGCCGTAAAGTCCGCTCCACTGCCCTTTAAACAACTTAGGAGCCCAGTAGGTAAACTTTAAACTTTTTGGTATATTAAACCCCCTATGAAAAGAAAAGTTTAAACTTTTTTGGGCCAGGGTACTGGGCCTCAAGGACAAGACCCTAAACCCTAAACCCTAAACCCTCAACCCTAAACCCTCAACCCTGAACCTCCAAGCCAGAACCCATGGAGTCCTTGAAGCCCAAGGTGCGTCCTCTGCCCGAAGCCCTGATCCCTAAACCCTAAATTAAAGTTCTGGGCTCCTTTATACTATAGTTATAATTTGTAGGTCCTTATTAACCCTAGATAATATAGAATTTATCGGGGCCCTACAAAAAAGTAGGTTTTGGTAGTTTAAGGTATAGTTATAATAAGGAACCCGAAGGAATAATATGGGTAATTATTGAGGCTTCTATACTCATCTAGCCCAAGGTGCGTCCTCTGCGACATCGTCTATGGTCCGGCGAGAAGCTCAGTTTGCTGTGTCGGGGGGCTTTGCATTTGGGTCGTTCTCTGAATTAGGGTGACTTTTCGGGTCCTGCTTGTAATACGTAAGAGTGCCGTACTCTTCTGGGTATCCAAAAAGGGTTCCTAATTTCGGGAACTGCCCATCTGGGGTTTGGGGCTTCGGGTTTTAGGTGTTCATAATGTCGTCTGTCTCGCCGGGACCCGGAACCTGGAACCTAGGTTTTGAGACACAGGGTTTCCGGGCTTTCGGATAGAAGCTGAGTTTGCCTAGTCGGGGTGCCGGTCATTTGAGTTTCGGGGCTTGGGGTGTTTATCGGCAGTAGGGTTAGTAAAGGGGTTGGCTTTGTAGGTTTAGGGGTACAGGCATCGTAGGGTTGAGGGTTTGGGGCTTTGCGGCGGGTTGGGGTGCTTTCATGAATATATATATATATATATATGGGTATGTATATATATGTATATATATATATATACATACACATTAGATGTATATATATATATATATATATGTGTGTGTGTGTGTGTGTATGTGCGTATATATATATATATATATACATATGGGAAGGGGTTGCCAAGTAGCCTGCTGTACTGCTGATTGACAGAATCCACACTTTCGATACGCACAGACAGCATGGTCGAGTTGATCACCAAGGATAGCTCCACTTCAGTGCTTGCGCACGATTCCGGAGCCTCCAAGCATGCGAGTAACTAATGCTCTACTTCTCGAGGGATCTTGACATGCTGATAGTATTGTGTACCGCCAAAATCAAATTATAGTTATCAAGGCTGCTTTATTAAGAAAACCCTTGTAGTAACACGTACAGGAACCCTTTACAGAAATCCTTTGAGTTAAAGGAGCCCTGTAAAGCCCTATTCTGACGATTGAGGCCACTACAATATGTTGTGGTTTCGTGTTCAGCGTGTTGGGCTTGGGCGAGGGACTGGTGATAAGAGGACAGGGTATCGTGAAGTAGAACATCAGGTGCCAGAGCATTGAGTTCCCTAAAGTCGCCCCCCCACTGATACTCTTCCTCTTAAGCTAAACCTTCACTACTTTTTGGATAAGGTTTGGGGCTTAGAGTGATACTCTGAACCCTCAACCGCTCTGCTTCTTCGGTTCTAGTCCCACCCCACAAGGATTTCAAACCCGAAACTTCGCGGAAGCCATGAAACCTGTTCTTAGAGGTCGTACCATTGCGCTGGTCGGAAATAAAGGGGCCGAAGTCATTACCAAAATTACTCCCTGAGGCTCCTTATCAGACTATACTAGACGGTCACTATCACCATAATATAATATACCCTGCAACCCTATTACCTACAGACCTTACCTACAGACCTACCTACTACCGACCTACTTACCTGCCTCCCGACCTACCTACCTCCCTAGCTACGTACCTAGCAACCTGCCTACCTACCTACCTGCCTACCTACCTACCTGCCTGCCTGCCTGCCTGCCTGCCTGCCTACTGGGGAGGCCACCAGTATGATACCAGCTTTCGGTGTGGAAAACGGCCCCACAAAGGGGGACTCGCAGACAGTCTCTGTGCTCGATGCTTTGTTCACTCTTTCTGGCATTGTGTGCATCCGGTGAGGTTGGTCACGCAACAGCTGGAAGCTCTGAAACAGAACCCACTACATTAGTTGCTGTCGCTTCTTGATGGCCTCAATGGGGGCTCTCCGCTCGTCCAACTCTTCTTGCTGCCATGATGGCGGTGCTCTCGCCGATGATGATTACTGTTGCTGTGGTGCTGCTGTGGCTGTAGCCACAGACAGCCCTTCAACAACCCTGAAGCTTGGACCCAGGTGCGCTATAGTTTGTGCCCTAAACCGAGTCTCTAGGACCGAATCCCTAAATCCTAATCCCAAACCCTAAACCCACACCCCTTGAACCCTAAACCCTAAACCCACACCCCTTGAACCCTAAACCCTCTTCCCACACCCCTTGAACCCTAAACCCTAAGCCCAAACCCTATGAAGTCTAATCCCCAAGCCCTAACATAGAAGCCTACATAATTACCAATACTATTGTTGGGGTTCCTTACTATACTTACGGTATAACATACCCTAAAGCCCTCTTCTAATTGTTAAGGCCCCTAAGCCCCAAACCGTCATAGTAGCCCTTATAGAACCCTTGGGGAACCCTTATAAGGAATCCCAAAACCTTATTCTACTTATTAAGGCCCCCAAACCCTAAACCTTAAACCCTAAACCCTAAACCCTATTCTAATTGTTAAGGCCGCCGAACCCTAAACCTTAAACCCTAGACCCTAAACCCTATTCGAATTATTAAGGCCCTACATTAACTCCTACTATAGATCCCTTATAGAACCCTTTAAGGATACCTTTAAAGGAACCCTATTCTAATTATTAAGGCCCCTATATGAACTCCTTGTTCTGGAGGCCCCCGGCGATGCGAGCCGCGGCCGGCCCTTCGTTGGCTTCCGGAGCCCGGCACTGCAGGCGGCCACGCCTTCTAGGGTACTATAGGGGTTCCTTAAAGGGATCTATAGGGGTTCCTTAAAGGGATCTATAGGGGTTCCTTAAAGGGATCTATAGGGGTTCCTTAAAGGGATCTATAGGGGTTCCTTAAGGGGATCTATAGGGTTCCTTAAAGGGATCTATAGGGGTTCTATAAGGATCTATAGGGGTTTCCATCAGGTACTATAGGGGTTGCTTAAAGGGATCTATAGGGGTTTCTATATA